CCAAGCCAACCGTATTTGGATGGAAGTTGCAAAAATTGATTTTCTTGAATTAAAATTTTTTAAATTATTATTGTGGCTTTTCTTGGTTTGTTCACACGCTCCACGTGTGTTAACCTTTCACGCGGACCTTTCTTTGGGAAATTGCGTGTTGGCTTCTTGGTTGGTTGGTTGGTTCCAGAACGTTGAGCTTAGGGACGGAGCTCATCGTCCGCTACGATTCCCTTCTTGCAGGAACTTCCATGGATTTAGACCCGCTTAATTTTATTTGAAAATTATAATATTTTTAAATATAATAGAAAATTAATCACTTATTTTTATGTTATCAGAAAATTCATTTATTAGTTTTAGGAAATTACAGTTAAAATAAAAAATAAAAAAGATAGACTTACTATTTATGACTATTTAAATAAGTTTTATATTCATATTTTAATATGGAATTCAACGAGAAAAAAGGAATATATTATGGAAATTAAGTTCCTTTTTATATTTAATGAAAAATATAATAATATTTTCCTATATATATTTTTTCACTCTGACTTTCATTTCATAAAGAATAGATTTGATTATAAACAGGAATATAGGATTACAAATATTAAAAATTTACTGTCATTTTAATCTCTCTTCACAATTTACATGCTTACCTTGTAAATTAAAACTAAAGACTTTAATTGTCATTCCAAACAACAACTACTTCTGGTCTTTAATATAAGATCTCGTTTGATTTTTATTTTGATTTGAAATATAAGATTCTAATATACTTTTTCTCTCATATTTATATATTTTTTCTCAAGATAGTCCTTCTAATGGTTGTTGTTTTAGCCAGCATATTTGATTAGTAAGAATATTTTAGGAAAGAAAATAATTATTTATTACAAATAACTAACTTAACTTATTTTCTTAATCTTCTCAAATTAGTCAACTAGATTTTATAATTAGGACCGGAGGAGGTAGTATTAAAATGATGTTGTTGAAGTTTAAAATGATAGTAAATTTTTAAACTTCATGTAAAGTTTTTATATTCTATGATAACTGCAAAAACATTATGCCTACCCACAAAAAAATATTATTATATTTTTGTGATTTTTTTTTTTTTTTGAGAGATGTTGAAATTTCCCGTAACTCCAACTCTGAACATATACTCTAATTGGAGGCCTTATTGGAAATACAGGGGGTGAGCTAAGCGATGAGCTAATGCAGGGAGGCTGACGTCATCGGCAGTCTTGGGTGTTAAGGCACTTCTGTTTCCTTCCGCGGCAAGCTTTGGAACCCTCCACAATTATGAACGGGGAATGGATGCATTACGCCCACACGATTCCATCCGTTGAAATTTGATTATTTAAAACAAAAAACATATGAAGAAACAAGTTATTCATATAAAAACAAGGTTCATGAAAAACATGTTATTCATACGAATTATACGGTCGATAATTTATTTTTTCTTTTATTATATTAAAATTTAAACACTGAAATTACTAATTTTTTCCAACGAAACTGAAATCACTAATTACGTCTTATCTCATTCTAGTATTCATCGTCTCTATTTCAGACAATTTTTTTTTTAATCCTTTTTTCAAACAGAGTTAAAAAATATTTTAATAATAGTAATCGAGAAGTAACCAGGATAATTTCATCGCATCTGTTGGAATTTCCAGGTAAATTACATCCTTTATATTTTATAAAATAGTATGACTATATATATTATTTATATTCACAGATAGAAGGAATTATTGATATTAATGTTTTCCCCTCCCCTGATCTCCAGCGGATTATATCCCCTCGGATTGTAAGACTTGAATTGACTCATTTATTCATTCCTCTAATAAAGTCAGGATTAGGGATCCTTTGACTTTATCAAAAACCAGAGATCATGCATCGAAAAGCGGGGCTTTGGTAATTTGATTAAGCTTCGATAATACTAGTGCTACTTCCGAGCCCTAATTATAAGAGCTAGTTGATTAATTTGAGGAGATTAAGAAAGTAAGTTGAGTTAGTTATTTGTCCTAAATAAATGTTGTCTTTCCTAAAATATTTTTACTAATCAAATGTATTGACTAGAACTATTATTATTAGAAGGGCTACTTTGGAAAAAAATGTATAAATATGAGAGACAAAATGGATTGGGGTCTTATATTTAGGATCAAAATAAAAATCAAATAAGGTCTTATATTAAGGATCGGAGGTAGTACTATCTAGTTTAAATAAAATATGTAATGTTTAAAAATTAAAAGTTTATAGTATTAAAGATTGAGAGTATTTGTTTTTAGTATTTGTTAGAAAAAGTTCTGAAATTTATAATCATCGTCACAATTGACATTACTGCTTGGCAACCAAGCACCGCGCTGACTTGACCATCGAATAATCATATAGAGGTATTCACATTGCGCCACCCTCGTTGACCCTCAAATTTATGAAACACGAAGAAGCTTCTACGGCTGAATATTACAACCTTTACTCCTTACTCAGCTTTTATTTATAAATTATTTTTAATATATTTCACATAAATAAAAAAATTTTAAAATTTTATTAACTCTCGTTTAAAATTCAACAAGTTTTAAATTTTATCCCTATTCAATATATATTATACTTCATGTAAACAAAGTCGACACAATAATAAATAAAAAGTAAAATTATACATTCATACAAAAATTTCTCTTAGTACCCTATAAATAGGATTAAAAAAGATCTTCTCTCTGTGTCTTATAAAGAGGACCAAGTGAGCTACTCATTTGGTCCTATTTATAAGTTATTTCTAATATATTTCATACAGATTAAGAAAGATCTTAAATTTTATTAGCTCTCATTTAAAATTCAACAGCTTTTCAATTTTATCTCTATTTAATATATATTATACCTCATGTAAACAAAGCCAATACAATAATAAATAAAGCGTGAAACTGTACATCCATATAAGAAAATTTTCTTAGTGTCTTATAAATAGGACCAAAAAATACTCTATAAATAGGACCAGAGGAGTAAGAATTATTTTGATTATAAATATAAGACCCCAATTCATTTTGTTTCTCATATTTGTTTATGTTTTCCAAAACAGTCATTGCACTAGCTAGTTCCATATGTCAAATGCTTCATCAAATGATAGTTCTAACTAATACATATAATTAGTAAGGATATTCCGAAGAAAATAACACATATTTATTCTAAATAACTAACATAACAAACTTTTTTAATGTACTCAAATTAGTCAACTAACATTTATATTAAAAACTGAAAGTAATAAAATAAGTTTGCAGATTAAAACAAAGAGGGCTTTAATGTTAATACTCCTGATCTGACAGCGATTAGTCTCAAACTGAAAATAACTTTATTTATTAAAAAAAGTACAATATTAAATTATTACAATTATCAGGCCCCGAATTACTTGCTAAAGTATTCTCTCTGTTTTTTTTTTTGGTCGGAATTAGTTTCTAGGTTCTAGCTCATATCTCGACCTCATTCACAGCACAAAAACATTACTTTTTCCCTTAATGTAAGTCATTTAATCAAATTTATCATATAAATTTATAATTCTATTTCTAATTTATTATTTTTAGATTATTATTGCCTTAAAAATCTATATACTAAATCGGAGTAAAATTAAAAACTTATTAAATTTTAAGATGTAGTCAGTAAAATTTAAAATTTTTTCTTGATTCCAATAAAATATTTTACGAATTGCACCAAAGGAATATGCAAAACAACAATCAAGTAGAATGTAGTTTTTGCAGAACCATGTTTTGATTTGTGAAGCTATGTACCAGCTAGTTTGATCATAAGAAGCTATAACTTAATTACCGAAAGATTAAGAAACAAAAGAGTAATAAAATTATCAACAAACTAAATACTATATCCAGTTATAATTATAAGAACTAATTGACTAATTCGAGGATATTAATAAAATAAGCTAAGTTATTATGGATAATAAATATGTGTTGTCTTTCCTAAAATATCCTTACAATTAGGTTTATTAATTAGAACTACTATTATTAGAGGGACTACTTTAGAAAAAAATCCACAAATATAAGAAAAAGATTGGAGTTTTATAATTAGAATCAAAATAAAAATCAAATGAGATCTTATATTAAGAACTATAGCATAATCGAATGAATGCCTCAGAGGGTAAGAAAATATAGTTAATTGAAAAACACAAAAAATATAGATGCAGCGTAGGGTATATATGCTTAGGGTAGAGGTTACCATTCCTAATTCTCTTTTTTTAAGCATATAATGTTTTTTTAATCTGAATAATTCTCCTAATTTTAAAATCACGTGTAAATAAATTTTTTTATATCTTATTAGTGAAATAAAAGATAAAATAATAATAAAAAGTATTTATACAAAATACAAATATATTGACGAGATTTTAAAGTTGAGACCAAATTGCAGGGTTAAGTTTTTTTGCCCCTTCAATACAACGGGAAGAAGTTGGGTTAAGCTGTCTGTGGCTGTTTCAAGGTAAAATCGGGTCAAGTTAGAAGATCCGGGACCGCTAATAGTGACGTGGCCCGTTCTGAAGTTTGACCCAGTTCTCGTTGCGCGGTAACCCGAAATTCAAGGACGAGCAACACAGAATCTCTGTCGAAATTCGAAACTACCTTCTTCTTCCCAAAAAATCGCACGGAGCTTTTTCAGGATTTCTGGATTTTTTCCCCTATACGCTAATAATTTTTCCTTGAACTTTCTTTGTCAAAAAATTTCGTTCAATTTCAAGCACAATCGCACACACTCTCTTTCTTGTCAACGCATTGCATCGTTGTGGCAATTCCAGCTTCATGTCCCTCCCGACGGAAGTTTATTCTCGTTGTTCCGATTGTTTGTGCTTTGATGTGCAGAACGAAAGTTTGGCTTACAGAAATAGTTTTCATATCAATGCCTCTCTTCATTTCTGTTTGATGTTTCCGCACATTTCATCTGTTTGCCGTTCATTCTGAGAAAACCAACGGGCGTTCCATTTTCTTCTTATTCTAAGAGCCGCCCTGAGAATAGAATTTCTGATAGAAATAGAAATGACTTCTAGCGATGAAAAGGACAAGGATTTACCGTCTCCAGAAGGATCGCTTGCTCCAATGATAAACATTAATTTCGAGAAACGCTCGCAGGAAGATAAAAAGACGCTACCGGCAGCGCCCCCTCCAAAGTCGAAAAAGGATTCGGATGAGCATGACGCTTCGCCACCGAAGTCTACTGATTCTAACTCCTCTTCGAAGACACCGCCATTGCCGTCTCAGATTAATCTGACTCTGCCAAGCTCACCATCACCTAAAGAATCACCTTCCAAGAAATCACCACCACCGCCTCCGCCACCGATACCGTCACCATCGCCTCCACGGGCAACGCCACCGGCTCGTTCATCGGCAAAGCAATCGCCTCATTCACCACCACCTCCACCCTTACACTTGCAACTTCCCACCTCTTCGCCACCGCCACCGCCGCCTTCATTGTTGAGTAACAGGGGAAATCTCTCTCCCGGTCCCCCTGAACAGTCAGCGTCATCAGCAGATTCACACGACAGGTCTTCTGTGAATGTTAGTGTCATTTTTCCCTCGCTTGCTCAAAGCGTCCCACCGCCACATACGCAGGTTGGAGGGGGTATTGAATCTGGTTCTAATCATCCTTCACCTCCCCACTCACAAGGGCTTAACGCTGGCTCAAATACAAGACCAAATGTTTCTTCTGACGACTCAGTGCCGTCAACGTCAGGAGGTGAAGGTGGCAGTGGCGGCGACGGTAATGCCGCAAAATATGTGGGTATTGCATTCGCTGGAGTCTGTATCGTTGTCTTCGTTGGTTTATGTTTTTGGTCGCGAAAATAAGAAAAGGAAACGAGGGGCCGTCCATGATGCATCGCATATACCGCCAAATACGAAAGCAGGTATATAGTAAGCAGCCATTTTTTGCATACTTAAGTTTGTGCATCAGACTTCATTTCTGATGATTTTGGTTTTGATCATCAGGTGATATGCGTTACTACGGACTGCAGCCCCTGCAAGATGACCCCTACAAAAATGGGAGCCAAACGGGAAGTGTGCAATCTTTGGGAACTTCAGAGACAGTGCAGCCCATGAGTGCCCAGACTGCTTTTAGCTATGAAGGTATTATGGAGATAACAAATGGGTTTTCTAGTCAAAACATTATTGGAGAGGGGGGATTTGGTTGCGTTTACAAGGGTTGGCTGGCAGATGGAAGAGTTGTAGCAGTCAAGAAGCTGAAGGCGGGCAGTGGGCAAGGCGATCGGGAATTTCGTGCAGAAGTGGAGATTATCAGTCGTGTTCATCATCGACATTTAGTATCGTTAGTCGGTTATTGCATATCCGAGCAGCAAAAGATTCTTATGTACGAGTTTGTTCCCAATGGAACGCTCGATCATCACTTGCACGGTAATGTGAGTTTTTCACAATTCATAATAAACTGGGTTTATATGCCCTCTAATTTATGAATCCATGATTGTAATTGGTGGACTGTTTGTATGTGCGAACAGGAAAAGGAATGCCAGTGTTAGATTGGGCCAAGAGGGTGAAGATAGCAATTGGTGCCGCAAGAGGTCTGGCATATCTGCATGAGGATTGTAAGTGCTGGTTTTGTTTTATTGTTTTCATATATTCCCACAGTAAAATAATCATCCTTTGCAAACCATTATGCTATTGTCACATTGCCAGAGCAGTTGCCCTTGATTTTCTGTCGTCTAGGCCAAAGACTATAGTTCTTTATGTGGCTGTTCACTCATTTCATCTCTTAACTGTGCTATTATTTGATGAACTGCTAGATGTCAATATGAATGGACAAAAGTGCTCATAGGGCCATAGGCTAGGGCACCTTACATTTTGCCCTCAATTCTTAACATTATTCAGAGGTTCAAATGATGCTTTCGAAAGTTGTGTTACCTTTGGGCCACCTTACTTTATCTATCTGTGTTCTTAAGTTCCGAGATTTCTCTCATGCATGTTGGTCTAGTTTTTAACAAACATGAAGTAAAAGATATCGACTGTGCTGTGTATATGTATTTTTCGTCAAGCACAAAATTGGTCTTCTAAGCACTTTCTTGTATCACTGCAAATTTTTAAATTTGTCTTTCAAAAGCCAACTATAGCGTTTTATCTATTTCTAGGCCACCCAAAGATTATCCACAGAGATATAAAGTCAGCAAATATACTTTTGGATGATGCTTATGTGGCAAAGGTACTATATACTTCAAATTTTCTTCTTCAATATGAGTTTCCTTTTGGAAACTGTTATATATTCGTTAGTCAAAAGTTGATGTCTCTTAATTTATTTTCATTCAATATAGTTTGATGATGTTTTAACTCAGGTTTCGGACTTTGGACTTGCGAGGCTAACAGATGATGCCGATACTCATGTATCAACTCGTGTCATGGGAACCTTCGGGTAGGGTTTATTTCTCTGAACATTGAGCCATGGATTATAATGTATCATGGTTTTCTCTGGGAGTTGCAACTTACTTTGAATGGGAAATACCTTCTGGGATTTCAAAGAAAGAAAGAAAGAACAACTGCGTAAACTAGGAGAGATTGGTGGTTTGTAGAATTTTGCAAGCCGATTGTGCTTTTAATACTTACCTCTCATGATATCACTTTGGCTAATGACTGAAACATTACCCCTGCAAAATTTTATTTCATTACTGTCAATTGGAATGTAAAGTAGTATTGACCCTCACAAATCGGCCAAGCTTTTAAGGTTTGATATTACAGCAAAACTTATGTGAGATACATAGTACGGAAGTGCAATAATGAATGTATTTGCTAGAAAACCGACTTTAATACACCCTATTCTAGCTTTGCATATTGTATAATTCCTGCTTCACCTTGAAGGTACATGGCTCCAGAGTATGCAACAAGTGGAAAGTTAACAGATAGGTCGGATGTCTTCTCCTTTGGAGTTGTCTCCTAGAGCTTTTGACTGGAAGGAAACCAGTTGATCAAACTCAACCACTGGGAGAAGAGAGTTTGGTTGAGTGGGTATGAATGAACCTTTTTCTTTATTTTGCATGGAAATTTTGTTGGAAATATGATATTTTTGTTCTTTTGTTTTCACCATATCCTTTGTCTTATGATGTTGATGAAACAATGCTCTGGAAACCATTATCCTTCCAACCATTCGCGTGCTAACTTTTAGGGCATAATATGCCATTTTTTAAAAGCACGTCATGTTTGTATCTAACTTCCCTTTTTTATATATGTAATACATTTTTTACAACTGCAGCTAACCAAGGTTCTTCTTCTGGTAGTTTGTGTGTATTGTATGTGAAACGGTTGCACATTTTCTGGGTCTGTTAATGGTCACCCTTTAGATTTTTTAACTCATTAGAGCATTAGTTCATAAAAAGAAAGTTATTCTCTTGATACAGCTTGAAAAAGCATTAGAACATCTGAGCAAATTTTACCCTCCTAAGGGAGACTTTATAGGCCAATTGAAATTCTGATGGACTGCTACTCAATTGAGTATAATTTACAGTGATCATGCTAAAGACACGTCTCTGTCAAATAATATTGTAGATTTCCTTTTTAAAAGCATTGGAACGAGTCCAATAAATCATAGGAGATACCCATCATCCAAACTAGAAGTTAAGACTTCCAAGTCATGTAATCCCACTAAGTAGAATTTAAGCAATCTCTTAATTATTGTGAATCTTACGTTAAATCAATCTTTGAAAGTTTCCCTTTTCCCTTATGTAAGATCATGATCAGATGTGCTTCACATCATCGACTGGTGATTATTGTTAGGGTCTTGTGATTCAAGTAACAGACTTCTGAGATCGATACTCATTTACAGGCCAGACCTCATCTCATTCATGCAGTTGATACTGGTGACTTCAACAAACTAATAGACACAAGGCTTGAAAATCATTATGTGGAGAGCGAAGTACTTAGAATGATTGACGCAGCTGCAGCATGTGTTCGCCATTCTGCTCCAAAACGGCCCCGGATGCTTCAGGTATTAGAAAAACTAGAAACATCCATCACGGTTCTCCAAACTATATTTCTCATGTCACTACTATGACTGTTACCTTTTGACACAATTCTGCCCGTTATCTATATTTACAATCTGACCATCTTTAAGAGAAAGAACCACCAACTAATACACCTCTTGGTTCTGATCAGGTCGTAAGAGCCTTAGATAGTGGCAGTGAACCAGTTGACCTATCCAACGGAGTGAAATATGGTCAGAGCACTGCTTATGATTCTGGACAGTATGATGAAGAAATTATGAGATTTAGGATGATGAATGGTGTAAGCTTTAGCAGTTCTGAATTTGATTTGTATGATGAAGAATATAGTTCAAGAGAACTATCCGGCTTCCGACGTGCATTTGCTCGGGCTGGTTCGGGTGGCGAGTCCAGCTCTCAAGCTTTCAGCAAAGGTGGGAGCAGTGGGCAAACGAAGGAATGAATGATAACAACTAACTTTGCCAATTTCCTTTATAGGATTTGCGGCATCAAGGATTTGCATCATCTTACAGAGCACAATATAAAATGTTCAAATGGATTAGATTGCCCTTACCTGGTTGGATCCTCTGTGAATGTAGAATGTGCAATGCAGAGGGGTACTAAAGAGAAGATAGTAAATGTGTATACGTACAAAATGTGGATCCTATACGAAGTCACATTCTCCATGCCACTCCCCCTCCCCTGGGGAATGGATGAATACATAAACGAAAAGGATCCAAAATTTGCACTAACAATTGACTTGGCGTACAAATTTAATGTTGAACTTTTTCCCCCTTTATTTTTATTCTATTTCCCCTCTTGTTTTTAGCACTGGGGATGTGGAAACCTTGTAAAAAGAAACCTTTCTTCATCTTAATGTGTTAGTTAATGTACACAGGATGATTGTAGTTATATTTTATTTAACGCATTAAGTTATCTTCATTGAAGGACTAGCATCAAGCAAGCTTTTTCAAGTTTTTTAAATGATGACTATGTATGAATAATTTTCATAACATAAAATTTGGCCCAAAAAAACTTGAAAATACAAAAAAAAATTCATTATTAAATCACTCCCATTCAAATTCCTTTTGAGATAGTGGATTTCATTTTCTGATCTTACCATCTTAGGATTTGCTTGGTTTTTAGAAAGGTCACTCATGGAAAGAGGAGGATGGAATGGAATAAAATGTTGACCTAGAGGGTGTTTAGATAAGTTTTGACAAAGCCTATCAGGTATTTAGAAGTCTAAAATCACCTTTATAAATAAGCAATGTTAATATCTTTTGGCATTAAAAGCCTGTTTGGGATCACGTTTAGGCCTCCAAATATGCACTTAATTGGTAAAAGTTGCTTTTTTTTAAAAATGATGTTGATATTTGTAATCTGACTTTTGAGTTCACATGAGTTTTTGGATTGAAACTCCATTATCTTACTTTTAACAATAGGCATTAATTATTTGTCACTTGCCTATTTGACCCTCCTTCTGTAGCCTATCTTCTCCTCTATTGTGGCGAGAAGAAAAAACAAGAACAGATCCAAGCACAGCGTCTTCCATTATCTCTATTTTTAATAATTTTATTTTTTAAATTTAAGAAAAACTCATTTTTAGTAATAACAGGAGAAAGCATTAATTATTTTTCAATTTCTCCGTAACAATGACTGATTTTTTTTTTTAATAGTTTTATTTTCAATATACAATTGTCACATTATAACATATAATATTAAATATATATTACTTAATAAAATTTATGTCTTTTTTAATAATTATATTTAATGTTGTTTTTCTATTAATTATTCAAACAAGTTTTAGTTTACCAAGCTGATTTTTTTTTACAAAAATCAATCCAAGTATAAGTCATATTATACTAACTTCTACCCTAACTTGAGTTTGTAAAAGTCAGATTAAAAAAAAAATTATTTTTTTTACTGGTAATCCAAACAAACTGTCTATGTTTAGTGAAAAACATAGTTGGGTGTATTTAATAGCAATTTTCAATTCTCACAACCTCCGATAACAAAACCCTCAATACAGTAGTTAATTCTTCCAAACTTCAGTGTCACTTCCTTCTGCTTGTGTCCGCGCACCTGCTTCTCATTTTCACTCCTGCTTCATTTTTGCTCTCTGCATCTCGTTTTCTTTGCAACAGTCTACTTCTTGCATTTTTTTTAAGCAGCTATTTTAAAAAGTAATAGAAAGAAAAACAACGAATGGAGAGGATTCCTCACTTCTTTCTCTCATTCAAAACCATACATGAGACGGCTCCTAAGTGATAAAAGAAAGAAGATATTCTATTTTGACTTTTGATGTTTCTTATTATTGTCTCCTTAACTGAATTCATTTAGGGGGAAAACAGGGATATTATTATATATATTCGTTGAGGATTAAACTCTAAACCTTTGGCAACATATTACCCTTTAGGTTAACCATATGGTCCTTTTCTTTTTTG